TACGGTAATTCACTGAACTACACTTTTTGATATATCGCCCACCAATATTTTCAAGTGTTTAAAAACATTCAGATTGCTTCCCTATTACGGAAAAGGTTAGGAGAGAATTCATTACAATAACGAGGGAAACAAGAAGGGGAGAATCCTGTACAGATACAGATGTAGCTGTTATTAAGTCATGGTCTGTAAGTTCCGGGGCCAGAACAGACCTTGGAAACCACAAATCCAGGAGTGGTTAGTTCTTCGTGGAAGCAGCTCTGCAGATGGCTGCTGTGCAAGTCGAGGCAGGGCCCAAACACCTGTGCCTCAGCAGTTCCTTAGGAGAGTCTCTTATCCAAACTGTACACCGCTGAGATATCCCAGGGAGGTTAGTGACAATTTAGAGCCAGTTTTCCAAAACTGTCCCAAGAGCCATATCACAAGATATGGTTATCTACTACACCTGTAGCCAGCGTCTCCAGCCAAGACTCCAGAGCCGTAACATCCCTCGAGAGAAGCACTGGCCCCGCTGACCTTAATCAGCTTGCAAAGACGCAGTTTCCTATTGTCCTTGATTTTGTCTTTGGTTTTTGAGAAAGGGTCTCTTGTAGCCCAGGTAGCCTCAAACACTCTACATATCTGATGACCCTGAACTCCAAATCCCCTTGCCTCCACCTCCTGAGTGCTGGGATTACAGGCACGTGCCTCCACATAAAGCACCTTGGTTTTTTTAATCAAACAAGTAACATGGGTTTTCTTCTAATACATTTTAGATTCCATTCTTATAAAACAGCATCAGTAGATTTGTAATTTACCAAATAACAGCAGGTCATAGATTCATTGACTATTTAATTTGAAGCAATAATATTTTATATATTCTGTATAAAAATGAGGAAACTGATACCAGTGGAAAGAGGACCTAAAGACTTTCTAGAACTCAGTTCTTTTCAGGTCAATAAATATGGTTGCTTGCTTCATGTGGTTACATCTGATGAGTTGTGTGAACCTGCAAAACTTAACTTTAGTTTGGGTCTTGGATTCTTCTACCTATAATTTAGTTTGCTGTTAATTTGTGATTTTTAAAAAATAATCCAGTGCTCATTCACAATGAAAGAAACCAAATAGAAACAACAACAACAACAACAACAAAAGCTTCAATAGTTTAAAACAAAAAGTTCCTTTTTCAAGACCTGTAACTTTTATTTTCTTCTTTGACAATATTATACATGTATATAACAGATTTGGGTTTCTCTTTCCCACCCTCTACCCTCTCCTATCTCCCTCAAACCCCCATCAACCCCACCCCCAACAAGTCCCCTTTTCACATTCATGTGTTTAGGTTTCTGTCTTGGGGCTCACTGAGCTGAACCAGGGCCCTCTGTTCGACCCTGGGTTTTGGACCATCCATTGTCGCTTGAGTACGTAATCAAAAACGAAGATGACTGCCTCTCCCCCAGAATCCACCAGTAGCCAACAGTTCAGCAGGATGGGGTGTGGTTCCAAGAGTCCTTCTCTCATCCAAGTGACTGATGACAGCCCAGTGCAGGCAGCCGCAGTTGCTGCAGACCATGACTGCAATGGCTGGGTCGTGCCCAGAGCATAGCATTTTGCAGCCCTTCTTCTTACCTTCAGACTCTTACAAATCCTTTCTGTCCCCTCTTCTGCGATGTTCCCAGCTTTATATATTGTCTTGTTTGTGACTGAGCATTCAAGGGTCAATTCTCAGTTCCCTGAGCAGTCATGAGACTCTGAATTTACCACAGTTCTTTGTGAATGGAAGCTTCTATGGGTAGGGCTGGGGATAGCATTTGTCTTACGAGCATAAACATTGAGAAGTCAGTTTGCTGCCAAATCAGTTTAGCTAAATAACTGTAATAAATTCTCTCCTAGCCTCTAAGACCTCCACAGCCCTGGAGTTTTAAACTAGGTTACAGCACAAAAAGAGTTCCTTTTTAATGTGAGGGTAATTTGTAGAAAATTAAAGAGGAATTTTAAAATGTTTTTTTTTCTTCAGAAGTAATAATTGTACATAGGTAACTGCGAGGAAGATAATAATTATAATAGCCAGGGCCACATGAATGAGGTTTTCTTCTGAAGATATTGAATTTTTTTTAATTGGAAGATACAGCCTCTGACAGGGCATTTACACCTGCACCTCCCCTACACATACCCTGTAGCCTTTGATTTCTTGAAGAGAACTGTGAGACAGAGGGAAAGGCCAGAATCTTGGCAGGTAAAGCTCATTCCTTTAACAGTTTCTGCTGTCTATGGGTTGGGCTCACAGGGACCATACAGTCCATACATTTAGAAATGATATGCGATTTCTAAACTATCAAAACAACCATTTTCAAAACTCGACTATTCTGAAATAACTCTAATCCATAATCAAAGCATCATTTTTCAAATGGCTCCAAAGAAACCTTTCTGTGCATTATCTACACTCTGGAGTAGAAGCTACAAACCACCATGTGGTGGCACACAGTGACTCCTGTACAAGGTGGAAAACTTGGACTCAGACTTGATTGTTGACCCCGAAAGGACTAGTTCCATGTGTAAGTCCAAGGTCTTTCTATTCACAGCACAGTAAGGAAGCCCATCAGGACACTGAACTTAAACTTACATTACATAGTTCTGACAGTGACTGATTTCTGTTCCATTGAGTTCTGAACAGAAGTTCTGTCCCCAGAATTCATTATGCTGCAAAGCCTGTAACAAAAGTGGGAACGAGCAAGGTAAACAGTATTAAATACCAAACATTTTCCAAAGAAAATAGTTACTTCCCCAAGTTCAACCTATCATTATTTGAAATATATTAATATATATTAAAGGAAATAAAAAGCACACTAAGTTCAAGTTCACAGTCTGCCCAGCAAAGCTTTTGCTATTTTCCCTGGTGATCAGGAGGCCTATGGCTAGAGTGCTGCTTCCCTTGACTAAGGGGTGAGATCTCTGACTAGATTACCACAAAGCTCCTTCCTTCTTTGACCGCCAATCCTATAACCCCATAAAACAATGAATAGTACTGATTCACAGCAACAATCTTTTCTTGACCATTTTTATCAAATCCAGTTGTAATTATGAATCTTTGTTATATA